TTCATCACTTCATTCATCTGTCAACAGCAATTGACTGCTTATTGTTGTCTTCAATGTCAAATATTTTCTTGATCATTCTGCTTCTCTTAATTCTCAGCTCCTCTTTGTCATCAACAGCCCGCTTGTGCATTATCTGGCCAACAGCGACAAAGCGTTGCCCCTTCAAAACGGCCTTTTTCACAACTTCTTTCTTTACAACAACAAGGTTCTCCAACTCCTCTCTCAAATACCCAATCTCCTCTTTCAGGTCCTCCGCAATTGTTGACTGACCAAATCCGTTTCTTTCTTTAGCAGCTAGGCAGTTCTCCTTCAGTCCGATTTTTGTTCTTAAATAAGAAATTTTGTCCTCGATTCTTCTAAGGATCTTGGTGTATGTTCGGAATGCGTCCTTTGCCTTCCAGAAGTTCTGCTCAACTCTAAGTGCAGACAAAACAACTCGTAACTGCTCCATTTTGTCTTTGTTCCTGTCCAACTTTTCTTGAATCTCCTCTCTCTTTTGTTTGATTTCTTTCTTTTTCTCTTCGTACGTTTGTGTGGCGTTGCCCTCAACAATCGAGCTGTTTGTGGTATTTGTTGGTATTGGTACCGTTAACTTTAGTTGTGTTCATTGGAGTTACATTTTGTGGTTTCACTAAGAGCTTTTTGAAGTTTTTCAATTGGTCCTCCATCGTCTTTCTTTCTTCGACCAACTTTTCGACTTTAACCTCTTCGTGCCTCAACAACTTCAAACTGACATCGTCAAGTTCTGCCTTTTTATGGGCAAGTAATTGTTTCTGTTCAACTGACCTTTGTCTAAGAATTTCAAATTGGCTATAAAACGTTTTGGTCTTTCTCATTATTTCGACTTTCTTCGCAACTTCCTTTTCCACACTCATCCGTTTGTTAAAATAATCAATTTTGCCTTTCAAACCGGCCATCTGTTGCTCAACAAGTGAGTTGTCTGCTCTCAATTTTCTTACTGCAAGTCTGACATCCGTCTCGCGTTCTTTCATCTCAAAAACCTCCGCGTCTCCAAGTTCTCTCAGTTTCTTTTCGACGTACTTCTTTCTCTTCTCGACACTTTCCCTTCGTTTAATAAGTGAGTTCTTCTGTGTTTGATATTCATAGACGGTGATTTTTCCATTCAGATTCTTATTCTCGTTCTCCTCAATGAGTTTATTCGTGACCCGCAATTTATGGAAATCGCTTTCTTCAACGACATTGAGTATGTGGATTTTCTTTTTCGTCATCATCTCGCCGCTCTTTTTCATCTCCTCCAACTCAAAAGTGTGTCTTTCAATCGCCTTAACAGCCTCTTCAAGACGCATCTTCGCCTTGTTTTCCATGAACGTGAAATACTCAATTCGTTTGTCCAACTGCCTCATGACTCTCTGGCAAATGTCTCCTCTTCCTTTTGTCAACTCAAACTGCCTTTTCTTCTCGCCCATTAACTCAACAATTTTTCTCATCTTGCTTTCACGCACGACCGCATTCTTCAAGTTTTGCGCAGCGTTTTCTCGCCTTATAACCACCAAACGTTCCGCCAAGTCTATCATCTCGATTTTATGATTAATTTCAAGGTCTTCAAGTTCAGCTTTCAAATTTTCCGTTTCGACAAGATTGTTCTCATTCTTTGATTTTTGAATTTTCTGCTGCAACATCTTCTTATTCTTTTTGAATTCCTTTTTTTCAAGTGAGATTGCTTCTTTGACAAGTCTCTCATTTTTGCGCTGGGTTTTCTGGAGATTGCGCCTCTTGGTGATCTCGTTGATCTGAGAATTCACAACTTTCATTCTGGCACCGGTGACGTTGTAATTCAATTGAAGTTGTTCGTTTTGTTTATCAGCATCAAGTTGTGTTTTATA